GGCCGCCTGCCCCGTCGCCCTCGCCCTTGGCTAGCATCTCAAACAGCAGGGCGGGGCGAGGTGGGAACCCGCGCCGGCCCTGGAACTCCCCGGCCAGGCGGGCCAGGTCGAAGGAGCGTTCGTTGAGCCACTCCGCATCCACGCCCACGCTCGTCCACTGACAGCATCCGCAGTGCGCGCGAGGCAGTGGCGCATGAGGGTGCCTGCGAGCTGTCTGGCGTAGTTTCTGTATCAAGACGGCCAGGGCGGCCCCGAGACGGTCAAGACGGCCCGGTCAGCCCTGGCGCGGTCAAAAAAAGCCCCAAGACGGCCTGGGAAGCCTCCTCCTCCTCCTCCACGTCCTCTTCCCCCCTCCCCCATCCCCCTCCTCCTCCAGCGAGCGCTCGCACTGCTGGGCCGGCACGGCGGGAGGCACTGCCGCGAGGCATATGGGCACCATGCTCCACAAGGAGGGGTGGACGCCGAAAGAGTCTGCCAGCGTGGACCACCTCAGCGCCGCAGGGAGCTTGTCCAGCCCTCCCTTCATGTCGGGCGACACGTTCCGCAGGTCCATGACGCACGGGCTGGTCGTGGTGGCCACTCGAGACGTGGTGCGGCTCCACGCAAGCTTTCGGCTGTGCCATCGCGGCACGTATCTGTCTGCGTTCAGCAGTTGGGCCCCGAACCCGCCGACGCCCAGTCATCGGGGGAGACGAGGCGCGCGGGGAATCCCAACGGAACGGGGGGGGCACCAGCAGCAGCGGCATAACCAGCAGCGCCAGCACCAGCAGCAGCAGCATCCTGCCAACCATCTGGGACTTTGTCCTTAGCGGTTACAAGACTGATATCACTACCTCCACTCTCTCTGAGATTGAGAAGTGGAACGCAGGACGCAGCAGACGCAACAGACGCACCGGCAGCAGCACCAGGAAGCAGCACCAGTAGCACCAGCACCAGTAGCACCAGCACCAGGAAGCCCCCAGACGGCCCCCCGAGAGGCCCTCGAAGGCCTCACCGGAGACTTCTCGAATGGCGCAAGCCTCTTGGATACGTCTATCAAGGCCACCTGGAAGGACAAGATCTCCTCTGCAGAATTCAACGCGACAGGGGGGCCCTCAGGCCACTTCTCACGCGCCGCCGCGGCCAGCTCTCGGATCCCAGCCGCCGGGTCCGCTGTCACGTAGTACTTCTTCCGTGTCCCACGTGGCCCCGGCCATGCCTTCGCATCGGGGCTGTCCGCGGAATCGCTGATCACGCGGAGCTGCTTCAGCCACGGCACGGGCCCGGTGACGTAGGCCACGTCGCCGCGTTGCCGCCCTGCCTCGCCCCTGTCTCCGGCTACGGCGCCCGCCAGGCACCACTCCAGCAGCGCCTCCGCGTCCGTGGTTCGAGGCGGCTTCTCTTGCATCCACCTCATCAGAGGAAACAGCTTCATGCCATTTCGGAACGCCTCGCACAGGAGCCCCATCGGCCCCCTCAGCCAAGGGCCCCCACTCTGCGCGAAGGAAATCGCCAGGAAGCAGCAGCGAAGCCCCAGGAAGGCGTGGGAGGCCAGGATAGAATCGAGACGCGGCGCGCACTACCGCCATGTCAGCCTCGACGTCGATCACGGCTTTGAAATTCATAGCACAAGACACGTCCACGCGTTCTGGTAAACAACCCATGGAATGCAACAACACGTCCAAGATGAAGTGCACCAGTGCATGAGCACTGTCCACCTTGTGCAGCACTGCCCCCATCCGGTCACCCGTCGAGGCGTCTGCCTCTACACCGCCTGTGCGCACGCAGTGCTTGTGAGTGTCCAACAGCACGAAGTGGTCTCCTCCTGGGCCGCGGACCACGCCAAAAGTGTTACCTTGGTGCTCCCTCTCAGGGTTGGGGTCGGCAAGTGGGACCGTCACCAAGAAAGCGGCCGGAGTGGGCGCGTGATGTCTGCGACAAAACATGAACACCAACTTGTTGACCACTTCGTTCGCTCGTGTCTGCGTCACCACCTCGCTCTCCACGTGGACTGGGAAAGGCGCACCCGCAGCAACCTCCCATAGCAGTTTTTCGGTCTCAGCCCCGCGGGCCGCCTCTCCACGAACGTACCACTCCCGTACCCCAGTCTCCATTCTACACAGGACCCGCTCCGAATCCAGAAGAGTTTCTGCAAGCTCACCGAAAACTCCATCCATGGCCCACCTCGCGCATATGAGCGCGCACGCCGAGGACCCCTGGCTTGGAGGCCGGCCAAGCACTACATCGTATTGCGAACGGGACAAGTAACGTGGGTACACGGCTTCGTCCACACGCACGTCCACTAGCAGACGGGTCAATCGCTTGCCGTTTTCAACCGAGGCGCGGCACTCGGTCGTTCTTGAGCCAACATGGGTACGGTGCTTTGCCATTACCCGTGCTCTCCGTGGCCATGCTGACGCTACTGCTTGGTTTCAGGGGCTGGCGGAACGAGGAGGCGGCCGGAAACCACCCACACTCCACGATACGCCCACCCTCTTGCGATTTGGAACCAGCGGGCGGCCAGAATCAAGCCACACTCCTGGGGCCAAGTCGCTCGGTTCACGCCTATAACTGTCCTGGCCGCGTGGCCGATGGACGCTTGGAGGGCCCAACTTAACAGACGTGATAGACAGGAGCTAACCTACTCATGGTTCCACCACAGAATTGAATCATACAAGTGCGACTCGCGAAGCGAGCTTGGATATAATACAAGCGTGTGAAGAATAAATGCGACAGGCTGCCCCCAGAATGCTCTCGGCAATTCGCGCTGCTGTCCGCTGGCGTGCCGGCATCTTGCCACACGCGCCGGCGTGTCTCTTCAGCTCGCGGAGGCATTCAGCCTCGGCCTCAGCCTCAGCCTGCCTTCAGCCTCAGCTTGCATCAGCCTCAGCCTCAGCCTCAGCCTCAGCCTCAGCCTGCCTCAGCATCAGCCTGCCTCAGCCTCAGCCTCAGCCTGCCTCTATCTAAGTCTCAGCCTGCTTCAACCTCAGCATCAGTATGCCTTCAGCCTCGGCCTCAGCCTCCGCCTGCCTCAGCCTCAGCCTGCATGAGCCTCAGCCTCAGCCTCAGCCTGCCTCCGCATCAGCCTGCCTCAGCCTCAGCCTCAGCCTGCCTCAGCCTCAGCCTCAGCATGCTTCAGCCTCAGCCTCAGTCTGCCTTCACCCTCGGACTCAGCCTCAGCCTGCCTCGGCCTCAGCCTGTATCAGCCTCAGCCTCAGCCTCAGCCTCAGCCTGCTTCAGCCTCAGCCTCAGTCTGCCTGCAGCCTCGGACTCAGCCTCAGCCTGCCTCAGCCTGAGCCTGCCTCAGCCTCAGCCTCAGCCTGCATGAGCCTCAGCCTCAGTCTGCCTCAGCATCAGCCTGCCTCAGCGTCAGCCTCAGCCTGCCTCTGCCTCAGCCTGCTTCAGCCTCAGCCTCAGTCTGCCTGCAGCCTCGGCCTCAGCGTCAGCCTGCCTCAGCCTCAGCCTGCATCAGCCTGAGCCTCCAAGATGACCCCAAAAACGGCCAGAAGGCCTCTAAGATGGGCCCAGGACGGCCCAAGAGGTCCCCCAAGACAACCCCGAGAAGGGCCCGGAGACGGCTCAGGAGACCTCCAAAACGGCCCAGATAGCCCCCCTGACGGCGAAGATGGCTCCAACAGAGCCCAAGATGGCCCCAAGAAATCTCCAAGACGGCCCAAGATCCACCCAAAACGGCCCAAGATTCCCTAAGATCCACCCAGAACGGCCCAGACGACATCCAGGGAGGCCAGAAGAGGCCAAACCCATTGATTTCCCGCACATGTTTGAAGTATAATTCCAAGCGTTTGGCCTAGCAAGACCAAGGACTTCCGCGGGCTACGAAGGACCTAGGAAAGCGAGGTTAAAAAAGGACCCAGGGGTAGTCGCGTCGTCGCTGCCGTCGCCGGCGTCGTCGCTGCCGTCGCCGTCGCCGTCGTCGCCGTCGCCGCCCTCCTTCTCTTCCTACCCCCCGTCGTCCTCAAGAGAGGGGGCCCAGACCCCTGTCCTCCCCCTCCTCCGCCTCCTCCCCCTCCTCCTCTTCCTCCTCGTCTTGCCCACCTCCTGGCCGAACCGAGCCGGCGGGCGGGCTGGCCGAGCCGGCGGGCCAGCCGAGCCGAACCGGTGGGCGGAGAGAGAGGGAGAGAGAGAGAGAAAGAAGGAGAAAGAAGAGACAGAGAGAGCACGGCACAACCCAACACCTCTCTTAGGAAGGGGGGGAGGAGGGGGAGGGAAGGGCTATGCTATGCTGCGCTATGATATGCTATGCGATGCTGCGACTTGCTATGATATGCTATGATATGCTATGCGATGCTGCGCTATGCTATGCTAAGCTGAGCTATGAAATGATATGTAATGCTGCGCTATGCTATCCTATGCTAAGCTAAGCTAAGCTAAGCTATGTTGTGATATGAAATGAAATGCTATCAATGTTGCGCTATGCCATGCTGCGCTAAGCTATGATATACTATGATATGCGATGCTATTCTATTCTATGTTATGCTATAACACCTGCTCGGCTTCACTCCCATGCGCGCCCTCCTTCGGACAGTTAACCCGGGAGTCGTGTCCCCGGAGGACAGTTCGCACTTAGAGCGGCCATAGCAAGCAATCAGTCCTTAGACTGGGCCTGGAAAAACAAACGATTGAATGGTGAGCCGCTGACCGCAGCCCTCCAGCCCAGCGCGGCGCGGGGCCACTCACCGGCCCTGCAGCCAAACGGAACGGTGTTTTCGGTCAAACTGGGTCGGTCTCAGCAGCTGAACCTGACGATCGCTTGAACCTGTCGGTCTTCTGCGTTGCACTCCTCGGCGGCTCCTCCAGGATGCCGCGCGCGTCCACCGGGGTGTAGTCCATCCCAGCCAATTCGTCAAGGACGACGTCAAAATCAAGGGCGGGCAGATCATCATCTGCAACTGGAGTGCCCGGGGAGCCCCCCGGCATTTGGCGCCCCAAGGGCGCCGCATCAGCGCCCTGGAAGCCGTGGCGCTGCAGCTCCCGCCGCTTCTTCCATGCAACGACGTGTTCGGCGGTCTCGAGGCTCCACGCCTCTCGTTTGCGAGACGGCGCAGGGGAAGTGCCGTCGTCGCCCACCTGCGCCGCCAGCGCTGACCTCAAGCTCTGCTGATGGATGCGGCGGCGGCGCGCCTGCTCCCACGTCTACACTGCCTCGGCAAGCAGTGGGTGCATCTCAGATCCACTCCTACCGTTCTTGCACAGGTCTTTGGCGTCTGGTCCCTCGGCGACGATGCGCAAGCGGTGTCCGACCGACTCTGGCTCGGTAGAACCACTGGCAGCGTCCATCGGAGACAGGGTCTGGGCAACGGCAGGAGGGCGCCGGCAAGCGGAAGTGAATCGGCGACGCATGGCCAAGGATAGCCAAATCACATATGCGCCGCAAGCGCTTCGGCGCCACGCGCGGGCCACGCGCCGAACGCTCAACTCCAATTGCGGGGGCCCTCCCGCGGTTGCCCGAACTCACCCACCCCCCGAGTCCTGGATGAGGCCCAAGAGGGCGAAATCGCGCTCCACGTTGTATTCTGTCCTTGCATGGTCAACATAATTGCAGCAGCCCTGTAGCAGTCGCAGCACGACGATGAGTCGCAGACGGCGCAATGCCGTTTCCCGTTTCAGTAAAGGCGGCCAGACCGCGACCATCCTCTCATCGAAACTCCGCATGCCTTTTCACCGTCGGGCGCGTCGCAACGCAGCCCTTCCTTGCTCGCATGGCATCCACGTGCGATGCCACGAGCGTGCGAGGCGCCACGCCGAGAAGTTTGCCAATCGATGCTAGTTGCGGGAGCTCTGCTGGCTCGGGCAGATGACTGGCCTCGTGGTCCCAAGCGGCATCGAATATCTCAAAAGCGGAGCTGACCTCGGAGAGAGCGCGCCCGCGGCGAACACAAAGAATGAAGGGGGAAGGGGGGGGGGGGGGGGCGACCCCGCACCCGCCCCCTTCCCACCACCCCGTGGTGGGTGGGTGCGTGGGTATCCGTGGGTGGTGGTGGCGGTGGATGGGTGGTGGGATGGGGTGGTGGGGCGGGCGTGGTAGGTCGGGGTGGGTGCGGTGGGGTGGTTGGTGCGGTGGGTGGCGGGGTGGTGGATAGGTGGGTGGGCGGGTGCGTCGGTGGGTGGGCGTGGGCATGGGCGGCGGCAATGGGCGGGCGCTGCGAATCTCTCAACGCCACCGCCCCATCCGCCCGCGCAGGAGAGGAGACCCGCCAGCCCGTCATCCCAGACCCTGATGCCCCGAGGCCCTTGGACCCCGTGGCCAAAAGCCCATCATATCCAGAAGCCCCTGGACCCCGAGGCCCAAGGGCCCGCGGGCCTTCAGGCCCTGAAGCCCTCAGACCCCCGTAGAAAAATCATACACTGAAGGCCTCGCCCCCCCCCCCCCGCCCCCCCGTCGTGAGTTCGCCGCCAGCGCGCCCCCCATGACCTCGCCGCTTGCGCGTCGTCGCCGCGCGTCTTCCA